AACTTATTTCTCCCTATCTTCAAAATAAAGCAAGAGAATATATTTCTCAAACTTTTTATAAACACAAATACACATATTAAGAATTGAAAACATCAAATACAAAACTAAAAATTGATTGCAAAAAACTTCATCAACGAAATCAAATTTTAATTAAAAAAACACAATCTCTTGGAGTACAAAATATGCATCTTGTCAATCAAAATGCAAATCGTATATCTAAAATTCGATCATTAGCTCGACGTTCACAACAAGTCACAGATACAACCTTTCAAAAAAAGCTAAAATCTATTTTTCAAGCAAATAAGCGGGAGTATGCATCTAATACTATTTGGCTTGCAACCAGTATTTCGCAAATTAGTCAGATATCATTACGTTTTACAGTAGAATTTATGCAAGTAATTTATGAATTTCTAATTGGAGAGCCACCACAAAATTGGATAACATTATCAACATTGTGCACTTAGCAGCAAGATATTTCTACATTACATACTAATGCACTATCATTTGGAGTCTTAGTTGACGAATCTACACGAGGTGAAGCAAAGTACTTTGTTTTATGTTATCAGTTTTGGAATCAAAAGGATCAAGTACCTGTTATAACTGTAGCTCATTTTGAGGATATTTCTAGTTGTAATGCAAATACTGTATCTAATACTGTTACAAAGTTTATACAACAAGATGGCTTGTCTTTTGATAAATGTGCATTATAGGTAACAGATAACACAGCCTATATGTCAGGAGAAAGAAAGGAGCTATTATTCTCTTTAATAAAAAAAATGACACAAATTCAATTCGAATTGGATGTGCACTTCACATAATTCAAATTATATTAAATAACTTTGAACAAGAAGCATTTGGAACAATTTCAAATAGCACTGATTTCTTAAGAAAACCTTACATATACAATTTACTTTACTTAGCTTGGAACTACATAATTGCTATAATTCAAGTGACAAGGGTAAACCACTTAATATTAATGCTTATATTATTCAAAAGTTATATGATAGGTTGTTAGGATTTCACTACAATCAGTATCAGTTACCTCTCTGTTCTCATTGGGATTATGAATTACAAACAGTCAAACAATATCTTGATCGTCATTCTGCCCATATTGAATTTGCACATTAGTTTATTGAAGAATTAGATAAAAGTTAGTGATTTTGGATGCTTTATCAGAACCATTATTAGGAATTAATGCAATTATTACTGGTGGAAATTTAGGTAGTGAAACCTGTATTTTTAATATAATTAATTAACATTAATAAATATTAAATAATATACAGTATAATCTAATTAAATAAAATTAATTTACCTGCAAAATATATGCCTGAACACTACTTGCAAGTGCTTCTTCACCTTTTATTTTATTAATTATTTGAGGAATTTGATCATAATCACTAACTTTTGTTTTATTATTGTTAAGTGTTGATCCAATTATGCAGCCAAGTTGTGGGAAATAACGAAGTCCAGGTTTTAACTTTGTATTATCAGTCATAGCAGTGATAGGACCTTCATAATGCAAAGTATCTATTAATTATTTAAACCTTGCAACATTTTTGTAACAAAGATCTGAGTCAGTTAAATAATTGTTTTCATTTCTTCTTAATTGTCTTTATTTATTAAAGTTAAATAATAAAATTATTAGTAAAATTAAAAATAATTGTGATATTAAAAAAATTATACAATACCTAATACTTTGGATAGTTTGTCCTTTCAAGTTTTGTTGAAATAAATTTAAAGCCTGAGTGCTATAATTACCTAAGATCATAAGAAAATTGATAAACTCCTCTGAATATTTAAGATTTTGTAAATCTAATCCTTTTTCTTTTTGCAAATATGCTTGAATCATTATATAACATAGTCCAGTAAATACAGGTTTATCATTAAAAGTACCTTTTATTACCTTATTGGCTAAAGTAAACCAAATATTTGAATTATTAGATGTATCTCTTTTAATGATATTCCAAATTTGTAATAAGTTAGCATTTTGTAAATATTTTTTCATTAGATCATTTTCTAACCAGAATAAAGATGTATGTTTCATATTCTCAGGTTTAGACGTTTTTATAGCAATTTGATTTGCTAATCAAGTATCTGAGCGTAATGCTAAGCATACGGTATAATAGATTTTATTTCGATAATTTTTATCAACAAATCTGATACATTCTTTAATACGCACAGAATTACCTATAATTATAAAATATGAATAATTTAAATATAAATAATTAATTGATACAAATTAATAAAAAAATTAAGATATTTTACTTTCGCAATCAATGAACTATGTACACTCAGCATATATTTGTTGATTAAGGATTCTTTTTTCTCTTAGATTAAGTTTTTTTCTAGAAAACTCTTTTTTGAATTTATTTCTCTATGATTTTTTTGCAATTACTTCTACATGACGAGAACCACCAAATTTTGCAAGAGTTTGATCAATATATGTTGAAATCCTAGCAGAACAAAGACCACTATAAACTCCCCTTTTTTTACTTGAAGAAGCATTAATATTTTCATTATAATCAATATCAATAATAACGTTTGAAGTTTTATCATCTTCACATTCATCAATACTAATAATGTCATCATCATCCATTACATCCACAACTTCACTGCTCCAATCTTCCTATTCTTCACCGGAATCATTGTTACTTTATGTTTTTTAGGAGTATTAAAATAATGATATAATATTTTTAGCCTTCATCCCGTTTACATCCTTTACTTTTAGTATGCTGATTAATATAATTTTCGTTCTATTTCCTTAAGAGCTTAATTGTTATACCACATACACAAATGACTTTTTTTGCGTGTATAACTTTAGCAACATATGGATGTCACTTTAAGTGTTCTTTTGAGTACTTTCAACCTGTCATAATTTGTAAAATAAGATGCACTTAATATAGATATAAAAGTTTTATGTATAATAAAAATATGCTTGAGAAAAAGAGAACTATCACAAATTATAAGCTAAAAAGAAACACGTAATAAAAAACGTGTTTAGATAAAAGAAAATGTACTTAACCGCTAATATGTTTACATAAACCAAAATGTATAGGAAGCTAACATTAGAAAATGTCAGGAGAATATGAGAATATTAGAAACTAGAAGTAAGTAAATTCGGCATTTTAAATATAACAAATAATATAATTGGCAAAAGAATAACATCTTATAATATATTATATCTTATCAAAAAAAAATCAGTACTACACATTTCTAAACTCTTAGTCCAAATTTAGGATTAATTTATGCAAATATGAATTATGAGTAATACAAAATTAATGTGATATTACTCATACTCAAATTGTAAGATTAAAAATATTCTCTTATAAACTTTACACAAATCAACATCTGAGTCATATCATAGATGTTTAGGGTTTTATTATAACTTTATTTTATAGATATTAAAGGCTACATTTCGTATTATTAAACTAATATTTAATTGGCCACCTTCTGTTACAATCATCACCTGAATTCGTGCTGGCATACTAAATTTTTAATTATACATTTTAAAATCGATTTTCATGCATTTTTAACATTTCTTTCAAAATCAACAAGGGTGGATAGAACCAGTTTCAGCATACTTTTTCAATGTGTCATACTGTTGTTTTGCCTCATCCAAAAGTTTTTGCAATTTTACTATATGAATCACCATTTTTATGACAAAAAATTATCACACCATATTGCTCTACAGTTAATTCATTATTTTTTCATTATTGTAATTGTAGCCGTAAGTTGCAAAAAAAAAGAGAAAAGGAAAATTTGAAGTTAAAATGTTATTTAAAACAAAATAAACAAATAAATAAATATAAATATATGTAAACATTACCTTTTATATATATCAATCAGTTTAAAATCTCCAGAATAATTTAAATCAAATTCAGAGAAACTTTAGAAAAATATTGGAATAACTTCATCAGAGAAGTGAAGAATTTAATTTTTCTTATCACGTGCCTCTTAATGATTAATTTTACTACTAAATATTTTTATCAAAAAGAGATGTTGTTGACATTTTTGTCTATCATAGAACTATGCTTTACCGTTACCTTTTTGGCTATTCTATAGTCTATGCGCTCTCTCTTTATCTTTTATAGCTAATAATAGTTATTATAGATAGCTTCTTATAAATGTATTTTCTTTTTCTTCTATATTGATGTATTTTATTATCTTTTTATCTTTTAATAAAATTTTTACACATCATTACATTTTTGCCCTTTTAAAATTGTCTAATAAGTTAATTAAATAAAATATATAAAAATATAAAAAATCTTCACAAATATCCTGCTATATTCACGTGATTCATATTAATGTTTAATCAATTCTACTATATAAAATGATCTCCATTTAGAATATGTTAATCTTTCTTTATATCAGGCAAGTCTATTAAAAATCTAATAGTTAAGTAATTTATCATGAGAGAGTTGCTGAGTACAAATCTAAAATTATCTTTGATCAACTGATTATATTGTTAAACTGTTTCTCAATACATAAATTATGTAATAATTATGAATAATTTCTTTTTCAGAAAAATTAACATTTTCATATTTCCTGATTCTTTTGCTTGCATTTTATTAAACTTTAAAATTATGCAGTTTACTAAAATTTCTGAAATTTATACTAAAATAAGAAATATTGATCAAGGAGGTGTTATACAAATATTGCATAATCATTGATAAAACGCGTTTATATTTCTTAAAATATTATGTAATGACCAATAACAATTTTGGACCAATAACTGTTTATTTATTTTTCTGCAGGTGAATTTTCATGATCTTGAAAAATTTTACACACATCTTTCATCTATAAATATCCTTTCTAAAATTTCTTCTATTTTCACAAAAATTTTCATTTCTCAAACAAAATTATTGCAGATTTTCAAACTCATAATATTTTTAAAATAACTCGCATAAATAAAAAGAAGTCTTCTTCTTCTCAACGCTAGAGTTCTGCTTAGTATAGACAGTTTAGAAGTGAAAAAATTTCTTAAAATAAGACGGGTAGATTTAAAAATAGTTTGGTCTAGAAGCTTTGATTATATAGAATATGTGCTGGCTTGTCATGAGTTTTGAATATACATAACTTATGCTATTTTTTAGTAACAGTAATGATTTATTCGACCTTATTTAATTAACTGCAGCAATGGCTAACACTTTTTCTTTTTGTTAAACTAAAGGTTTATGTCAAAAAGGTTAAGAAAAAGTTTAGGTCCAAGAAGATCTTCAAACAAAAATAGCAACTTTAGAAAATCAATTATCAGCTTCTTTAAATCAAACTACTAAATTTTTTCTTGAGTGTAACTGTTTGAGAAAAGATTTGATTCAAGAAAAAGACAAGAATCAAAAACTTCAAGAGAATTATAGAAAGCTTAATGATAATTTTTAATTTATCCATCAAGAGGAAAATGTCAACTTAGAGACCTTAGAGTGACTTTGAAGGCATTTCAATTTTATTCAAAATCAACTTGTAGAGAATAGTAATTGCTATCAATTCTCAGTGTATCTTATTTCTCATGAAAATCAATTAAATTAAAAATTTTTTTTTTTTTTTAATAAATTACTATGTATTTGACTATACAAAACTATTTAAAAGATGATAATTATTATGAATTCATATTATTTTAAGAGCTACCAATCACAATGTTAACACTTTCACTTTCACTCTTATTATTTCCTCTAAATTACTAAATGAATATTATCTTGTCTACTAATATCAT